CTTTGGATTCTGTCTCCCTCTCTCTCTGCCCCTCCCTCATTTGCACTCTATCTCCCTCTCAAAAATAAATAAGCATTAAAAATTTTTTTCTTAATGGATTTAAAATGTTATTTTTAAGGAATCTCTACACCCATGGGGTTCAAACTCACAGCCCTGAGATCAAGAGTTGCGTGCTTTTTGACTGAGCCAGCCAGGCACCCCCTACATTTAAAATGGGTTTAAAAACTACATGCAGATAAAACTGTAAAAGAACCACCAGAAAATATGAACAAGTATCTTGGGCTCTGGAAGCTCTTTGGAAGAAGAGAACAGAACGTGGATATTATAACGGAAAACAAATGAGATTTGATGAGCTATCATGAAGATTTCTGTACTTCAACAGCACAAGACTAAAAGAATTAAAGGGCAAGTGAGAAACGGGGCGGTTTGGGGGGCCAATGTTTCAGAGTGTGTTCAGCAAGGTAGAAAAGTTCTTACCAACGGAGAAGGAAAAGACAGCTATCTACATATCTTAAAGCGAAAGGCATGAGCAGGCAATTCACACAAGTTATATTTTTAAAAAACATCAAACATGAAAAAATGTCAACGGTCATTATAGAAATGCAAACTGAAACAAATGATGGCACCACTTTTCATGTGTCACATGGGTAGGGAGAAAAGATACTCGTAATTCCCAGGATTGGTTAGGGTGTGGGACAGTGGTCACTTTCACACATGGTTGAGGAGTAAGTAAATTGAGATAAAATTTTAGAAGGCAATTTGAAAATAGATTCCCGAGGCCTTTAAAATGTCTATGCACTTTGACCGTCTGGTTTTAGGGATCTATTCTAAGTAAATAGTTAAAAATGGAGTCAAAATTAAACATATTCAGTCAGCATAATTCATAAAAGGGTTAATTTAAAGAAGTCTAAAAGTTCTGTAAGGGCTTATATCAACTCTGCTGTATATTTATTGCACAGTTCTATTTAGTCATTGAAAGTATTAACAGAAAATGCTTACTGTTAAGACAACATATTCACAATGTAGAACCAACAAATAAAATGCAAGATGTTAAGAGTATGACACTATTTTTACAAAACAGTATTTAAAGAAATGAAAAAAAAAAAAAAAAAAAACAACAACCCAGCAGTCAAAAATAAAGGATTATATATCAGTGCTGGATTACAGATAACTAGAACTTTCCTGTGATTTTTCTACTTCTTCAGTTATCTGCACAGAACATGTATTCCTTTTGCAACTATTTTTAATTTTTTTTTTTTTTCAAACGTTTATTTATTTTTGGGACAGAGAGAGACAGAGCATGAACGGGGGAGGGGCAGAGAGAGAGGGAGACACAGAATCGGAAACAGGCTCCAGGCTCTGAGCCATCAGCCCAGAGCCTGACGCGGGGCTCGAACTCACGGTCCGCGAGATCGTGACCTGGCTGAAGTCGGACGCCCAACCGACTGCGCCACCCAGGCGCCCCCTTTTGCAACTATTTTTAAAAGACAGGTGTTATTAAAATACAAAAAGCAAAAAAAAAAAAAAATTATCCCAGTTTAGCTATGTTTATGTCCTCTTGTTTTAAGTGATGATTCAAACTTGGGCCACATTTCTAAGCTACCATACATAGAAGAGTCAGTCTTCTGATTTTTGATTTGTCATGGTCATGGAAGATTGGGCCATCTTAGAAGAGGGGATGATGAGACGGGATGGAAATCTGCAACGGGCATGGGCACTAGCCAAGACTCTCCTAGCTTTCTGGTCCAACCCAGAGAGATAGCTTCACCTAAATAAGTACCTTGCACACAGCCAATAAATATTTGATGCTTATTTTGAAAATTCTTAACCTTATTCACTTTCATTGCAGACACTTTGCATCATCGATTCTGACAAAAATAGTAACCCAGGGGCGCGTGGGTGGCTCAGGCAGTTGAGCAGCTGACTTCAGCTCAGGTCATGATCTTGTGGTTGGTGAATTTGGGCCCCGTGGCCGGCTCTGTGCCGACAGCTCAGAGCCTGAAGCCTGCTTTGGATTCTGTGTCTCTCTCTCTGCCCCTCCCCCACTCCAGCTCTGTTTCTCTCTCTCAAAAATAAATACACAGTAAAAAAAAATTCATAACCAAAAAATAAAAAAAATAGTAACCCCAAATTTAAAACTATCATTTATATTTCAGCTACCCAAAAGTTTGTGTTTATATAATATTATATTTTGATCTCATATATTAGTTAAGAAATAGATTTAGCTTTCAGGATTGTATATAACTTTCAGGATTATGTATACAAGAAGAATCTTTAACTTATTCTCATGGCACTCTTTGAAAGGGGGCGTGGCTTTATGTGTTCATAAGTTTGGGAAACTCACAAAATTTAATATCCTACCTTGGTTTATTTATTTTTATCAGATGTAGAATATTGAAACCTAACATATGCATGGCTATGTTTACATTGATAATGCAAGTACTTATCTGAAGTACTTAAGGAAGAACAGAGTACTTATGAAAGTACTTATCTGAAGAACAGGGACAAATAACTCCGCTTAAGAGAAGGTGGGGGCAAGTACTGTAAGTGTCTTAAATACTTAGGAATATTTAAATATTCCTTATAACTCAAGGCATTATGCTGAATGAAATTGACCAAGGATGATGTCATAATTTGTAACATGTTTTTGTCAGTTCTGGAAAACTCCTGTTGACTTGCAACATCTTTGACCTCAGATGCACACCCACTCTCCTAGTGAGTGTGTGGCTGAACTTGAACCCAGAAGGAGCATGTAAAAGGCCTTCCTGATGAAAGTCCAAGAAGCATCTTGACGGATAATATGCAGTGTTTCACAGCATGAGTCACTAGGGTTTCGAAGCAACATCGATTTGGCCATAATGTTTCTATGGTTTCCACATTTATCACTCTCTACCTTGGTAATGAGCACCAATAAAATATGACCTGAGTGGATTATAGAAAGAAAAAAAATCTGGAAAACACTCTTTCTTATAGTTTCTTCTCTTGTAAAACACTCGACTGACTCCTCTTGCTGAGGCTATCCTCTATTTTCCTGTACAGCTCAGTGTGAGGTCATTGGCTCTCAGGATTGCAGGAGGGTTCTATGCTGCAATTAGCTCAGTATTGTGTGCCTTGCCAGTGTCATTAGAAGAGATACCTGCCTAGTTACCGGAATGGGAAAAAAAATGCCGTTGAGTGGCATTAACAGGAAAATGCGCAGTGTTGCCAATGTCTGTAAGATGCATGAAATGCACAAAAACCTGCATCTTTTATGGGTAAGTAACAGATGGAGCTCAGATAATGGTAAAAACAAAACAAAAAAAAAAAAAAAAACAAGCGAGAGAGAGTTACATAAGGGATCCTCCAGAGCTGTTTGGAGAAGAGACACACACTGCCTTCAGCTTTCAGCTCCTTAGTGTTGGGTTAGGTGGTAGAACAAAACGGGAGTAGTTTTTCATGATGTGATGGTTTATAGGTCACTCAGTCACACTGAGTTCCTTCTGAGGAAGATTCAACATCTAGTTATGTTTTCTGTGCCAGCTGTGTGGCCTTTTCATTGATAGGAATTCCCAGCTTCCTTTTAATAAAAGTGCAGCATGTTCGGGAAGAAGAGGCTTGCTTTCTGTTTTACGAACCCCACATGCCCCTCCTCCCGGGGGCCCTCTCTTCCTCTGCTCTCCAGCACCTGGCTTGACTAGCAGCTGCCTCTCAGCCTCCCCTGATGGGTGAAAGGTTTACCAATGGGCTGTTTAGTGCCTGTCCTGGTGGGGGAAAGTGGCACAAAGGACTTTGTACCTCAAGCGTTTGGCAGACCAGTAGAGGCTGACAACAGGCATCCTTGCTGCTTGGATCTTGACTGCTGCTGATATCTGAGTCATGCCCAGAAAATTCCTGGCACAAAGTCACAGGGTCCTGTTTTTCCGGAGTGTTGTGAGATCTCCTCTAGTGTCTATGGCTGACAACTCTCGGCAACCAAGTTCATTTTCACTGTTTTTTGTTCCCCCCCCAAAGAAAATGAGAGAAACAGAAAGAGAGAAGATAACAGAGCGTGAAGCTGACGGAACAGAGGTTGTATAGCGATCGTGATAAGTCCTATCCATTTTCATGTTCAGATATCATGGAGACCAAAGGTTGAGTTCTGGAATAGGGAAACCATCTTGTTTTGAAATTCTTCAAATGTTTCTGTCCAGATAGGGAGCTCTAGTCATGGCGAAGATGTTTATTCTGCCACTTGTCAGTTGTGCTGGCCTGAGCAACTGACTTGACATTTTTCTAGCACAGTCTCCTTATCTGTAAAACTGAGATAATAATGATGCCTATCGTGAGCTTAAATGAGATAATGCATCTGATGTTGTAGCATATGATAAAAACTCAATAAATGTCATTTATCGGTATTATTATTTCAAGGGAACAGCATAGTATTTTTCTAATTATTACACATTTCCTGGCTGTTCTAGGCACAGACTGCTTTTGTTCAGAAAAAAAAATATAATAACCTTCAAAAAGCACTTTTATTTCTCCAGGGGCTATAAAAATGTCTAGTCCTATTATAAAGACTTTTACTTTCAGCCCAACAGACATGCTCAGAAATGGACTGGACTCTGGGGCAGCTGGGCCTATGGGTTTAATGACATCAGATACATAACAACTGCTACTTTAGGCAAGTCTAGAAATACCCTCTGCCCTGCCTGAACCTCATGGCAGGCCAAAATGAAGCAAGCTACACAGCTAAGAAATGGTTTTTAGGCTCTGGGAGCCGTTTTCATTAATTCTTTGTCAATTACATACTGAGTATTTACTGAGTTCTTTAAGTGAAGTGTGGTAGGCTAGTTGCTTTGGGGCTGTATAAAAATGTATAAGACACAATCTGGTGACCCACAGGAACAGAAGTATAGTAGAAAAATTTATGTGCAAAAAATAACCACAATAAAAGTAGGTGTAGAAACTACCATCAGAGCTATGTAAACATGGGAGCTCAGACTGTTCACTTTTTCTAACAAAAATAAATTTGGATTTTGCAGGATAATTATGCGTTGAAGAAAAAGGCATTCAATGAGGAGCAAATGGCAAAAGCAAATGTGTTAAGATTCTAAAAATGACTACTATCCTAGTAAAAAATGACTACATTTTATACTATGTGCTATACACACACACGTACTCACCTGATCAGATGGGCGCTAGGGAGTGTGTCTGAAGGCAGGTAAGGGATTAAGCTGCAAAGGTAAACTGGGATAAGAATGAGATTTTTAACCCTTCAGCAATATCACACTTCTCTAACAGGACTAAAGGGCATTCTCGTCTGGGGTGGCCTATAGCTATGGGATCTGGTGGCAGGTGACTGTGAATGTAGGTCTGGTCTGCTCAGCTTCTGGGGCTCAGCACCTATTAGGTAATCCTATTAGGTAGGGAGTGAAGGTATTGTTATGCCCACTTTACAGGAGGTAAGAATGAGGCACAGAAGGTTTAAATGACTAAGCCAGGGGGACTTGGAGAGTCATTTCCAGAGCTCAGAGTATCCAAATCTTGCTTGGCTGACTTCAAATGCACTTCCATTCTCACATCCAGGTTGTCATCCTGTGGCTATAATACTACATGTTGTTGATTTTAGAGTGGAAGGCAAAACATTCATGTCCAGAGATTACCGTAACAGATTAAAGTAAGCAGCAGCAAGCCCAGCGATTTGGGGCTGGTTGAACTGCATGTAAATTGTAGAAATGCTAAAGACTGTGGTTGTGCTCTTACTTATTTTTGAGGAGCTAGAAGAGTGATTCTAAAGGATTTGGGAGAGTCCAAGCACTTGAGCATTAGGAATTCATAGTTCATAGAATTTCAGAAGTGGGAGAAGTTTTGAAATCATCCAATTCCTTTATTTTACTAGTGAGGAAGCAAAGGTTCAGAGAAGTCAAGTGAATTGCCAAAGTCTTATGGAGAGTGTAGTAAAGGACGTCCAGGTCTCTTTTCTCTTAATCTACTTGTATCAGTCAGGGTTCTCTAGAGAAACAGAACATGCCAAATCTATATCTATATCTATATCTATATCTATATCTATATCTATATATGTATTTATTGAGAGAGATTTATGTATTTTTATGTATAAGATTCATATATTTATATATAAAATAAATATATATGTGAAAATTTATTTATTATGAGAATTGGCTCACATGATTATGCAGCCTGAGAAGTTCCATGATATCTGCCATCTGCAAGCTGGCAATCTAGGAAAGCCAATGGTGTATGTTAATATGAGTATAAGTTCAAAAGCCTGAGAACCAAGGAAGCCAATGGTACAAATCCCAATCCAAAGACCAGAGAAGATGAGATGAGATGTCCCCACTGAAGCAAGGAGAAAGAGGGAAATAAAAAAGATGGGAAATTCTTCCTTCCTTTGCCTTTTGTTCTATTCAGGCCATCAACAGGTTGGAGGTGCCCACCCAAGTTGTGGAGGGCATTCAGTTTACCAAATCCACCAACTCAAATGTTCATCTCATCCAGAAACACCCTTGCAGACACACCGAAAGCTAATGTTAAATCTGAGAACCTTGTGGTCAGGCAAATTGACATATAAAATTGACCATCACACCACTGCTGATGGAGAATGAAGACCTATATTCTTAGTCCTTTAGAATAAGTATTAAAAGTGGCAACAGATGAGATGGGAAAAGAATAATGGATTAAGGAGCGGAAGAGGGTGAGCTTAGCATTGCTGTGTGTGTCCAGAGGAGAAGATACTCCTGGGGCATTTACCAGAGCTGGGACACCAATGTGAAATTGTAAAGTGTCCTGCTTCCTTTTGGAAACACTGTCTTCAATTTCACCATGTTCAATTTTATCATGTCCCTCCCCAGATGAGGAAGTAGAAAAAGGTAAGTGGTCTTGAATATGTCTGAATTTTCAACTCAGAGTGACTGAGAAAATCACCAAATCGTATTAGATTTAAATGGGATTGGTTAAATTGTTTCCTACATAAGAAAAATTGGGGGTTCAGAGTCATACATTAAAATTGGTTGCAGAAAATAAAGTTAGGGTTCAGTAACACCTGAGAATACTACAGTAAAAATTCATATTTATAAGATTTCAGGTGAAAAAAAATCCTGAGGTTTAAGAAAGCTTTTAAGCTTCTGTGCTATTGAAGAGAGAAGGGTGAAAATTCCTGGTCTGTTCTACAGAGAAATTTAGTGATTTGCCCAAGGTCACAAAAATGAACAGGCTGGAGCAAAGATACGACCCAGGAATGTGTCTATCCTTGACTTTTAGAATCTGTGCAAAGCAAAGGAATGCCACATGTTACTAGGTGTTAAGCAGGGTAGAACCCTTCTATAAACACACTGACCTCTTTGTGTTGAGGTACCTTAGGGCAGATATCCTTGGTTCTGCCCAGGGTGACCTGAAGCCCCTCTTAGTGATGCCTAGGTAGGTTGGAGAGACCTTTACTGTCCCAAGGGAAGAACAGACCAGGACCTCCAACCACTTGAAGAAGTCTGCCCTCCCTAAATCCGAAAGAGGAGATCCATAAGTTTGTCTAAGAATCCCTGGGACTTTAGAGAAGCAAAGGGCTGAGGACTGAACTTTGACATTTGAAGTTAGAGTAACTTGTGTCCTGGACAACAAAAGACCTGTAGGCAAGAAGGAACACCAAGTGCCCTAAGAAGAAACTCATGAAAAGAGATGGGATAAATTGTACTGGTAACGTTGGCACAATAACTTTGAGTGTTAGGAAGAACAGGTTCAGATTATATAGATCCAGGCTTCAGCAGTAGACCCTGGGGTCACTATTGCTTGTGCATTGACCAGACTCTATATTTTTCTCTCTCACTGACCCACCACCTGTCCTTCTCGTATAGAGGGAACACTCTGGAATGAGTAAACCTGTACTATTCTCAGTTAAGTTGGTAAGAGGGAACCTGAATAAAGTGATGCTGGATGTTTTTTTTCTAATAAAAAAATTGTGGGAATTCAAAAATTAACTGGGAGGGAGTAGAAAATAAAAAGTGATGTGATCTATAAACTGAAAAAAGTGACTCATGCAGGCTACACAAGAATATCATCAGCTCTACTAATCTGTAGATAATTTTTTTAATGTCTTATTTATTTTTGAGAGAGAGAGAGAGAGAGAGAGAGAGAGACAGAGCATGAGCGGGGGAGGAGCAGAGAGAGAGGGAGACACAGAATCCGAAGCAGGCTCCAGGTTCTGAGCTGTCAGCACAGAGCCCAATGCAGGGATCGAACCCACGAACCGTAAGATCATGACCTGAACTGAAGTTGGATGCAGGCGCCCCAGGTAATTTTTGTTCTCAAATTCTCCAATTCAATATTTTAAAGAGCTCATGCACCTCAAATGTATTGGTGGATGCTACGGTGAAAAAGACAGGCATAGCAAGAATACTTTGGAAAAACTAAAAAAAGAAACTTTGTGAATTTCCGGGGAGAAGCTTCTATTATAATTATTTAATGAGACCCTAATTTTGAATGAAAAAATAATGTACTTAATGTTTTATCTTAGCAGGTTTTGCCAATTGTTCTTATCCGGTTTCTTCAGTTGACTGACAAAAAAGTACCAATAAATGCGCAGTTAGGTGAGCAAACTAATTTCTTGTACTTTTATTCCCCTTAATTTGTGAAGGAGTGCCTTATTTCTTTTTACCCCATTGGGTACCTTAACAACACATATTCAAGGTTCGCTACAAAACAAATAGCACCCGGGGTGCCTGGGTGGCGCAGTCGGTTAAGAGTCCGACTTCAGCCAGGTCACGATCTCGCGGTCCGTGAGTTAGAGCCCCGCGTCGGGCTCTGGGCTGATGGCTCGGAGCCTGGAGCCTGTTTCCGATTCTGTGTCTCCCTCTCTCTCTGCCCCTCCCCCATTCATGCTCTGTCTCTCTCTGTCCCAAAAATAATAAATAAACGTTAAAAAAAAAATAGCACCTGGAAATGATTTCAGTGCAGTTATAGAAATAATATACAAGAAGATTACTTCTGACCTTGAACTTGCATGCCAGTGATAAGCATTACATCTGTACCTATTCAGTTATTTCCATTATTAATTTTGCTGCTGGCTCCCTTTGGAACTTAAAACAAATCATCTGTTTGTATCAATTGCCTTCTTCAAAACAATAATAAATAATGTTATTCTTAAAAATCCACACACAAAAAAAATGAAAATTCAAACTCTTTTTCAATAGGCTACAGTGCCTTTTAGAGGCAACTGTCCTCAAGCAGAAAGAAATGGGAGAAAAAGCCCTTTCATAACATGAGCAGGAAAATGGGTCTCCCTGTGGCGCAGGAGATTGGAGGTTTCTTTCTGATGGTGCTCCCTGGATTTCACAGAAGACATGTATTTGGGGAGATTCAGTTTGAGTGTTCACAGAAAACTGTGTATAATACACTTCTACAAATACCATGTTGGTCAGTGGGAAGAGAAAGACATACAAGAGAAAGTCACAGAGAAATGTAATAAAAGCTCGATTATTTTGGCAAATATGCTATGTTTAAGCATTCATTTGTTTTTTGGACTCTGTAGTTTAAACCCCATAAAGATGATTTGGCGTATTGGCCTCTTCCTTGGCTAGTTTATGGGCCCAGATCATGTACATCTACTCTAACCTCACCTACTAACACGCTAATTGGCTTTTCCAATCCAGCAGTTCACAGCTATGTGCACTCTGGCCATTGCGATCCTGAGAAAGATGGGCAAGTTGGCTTTCTCCACTCTTCTACCAAACCTCTGCTCAACACTTCTCGGAGGTGCTATATAAATCAGATAATTGAAGAGGTTCCTGATAGCTTCGCTCTCTTCTTCCTTACATAGTTACCTTTTTGGTGACTATATTTGCCCATAATTTAGAATCACTCAGTGGGTTAAATGGGCGTGTGGAAGTGAATGAAACCCCATTCAAAACTCCATTCATGGAAACAGATTTGAAATATGGAATTCACAATGCGTGTGGCCAGGCAATAACATCCTGCAAACCAGCTAAGGATTTGAACTTCTCAACCATTTCGCGTCCACTTCACTTCTCGTGCCACGGGCTGTGAGCAGCTTTTCTGGCACATGTCAGCAATGCCCCGTGACACCAATGCCTTCATTTCTTCTAGGAGGGCTGCAGGTTCATGTTTCTGAAGTCCAGACCGGATTACTCATGAAACTCCAGCCATAGTTCTGTGCTCTCCACGGCCTGTTCCATGTAATTTCATTTAACCCATAGATTCATACCTGAAGATTGCGGGGCATAGGCCACAATTCCTTAGCATGACTGAGATGACCAGTACAACCTATGTAGGCCCCAAACCCTGCCATGTGGTAGAATACAGGATTTGGAGAAGCAAGCCCCAGCTTTCCCTTGTGTAACTATGTGGTTTCTCCCATATATTCGCAGTGCCTTGTGCCAACCTTGGACCTCTGAAGGTCAGCTTTATCCTCTGGTATGTAGGACTGTATTGCTGAATAACGTAGCCAGGAAATACATGGCCAGTTCTCGTACAGTTTGCTATGGGCCTTTATGCTACATCATTTCAAATGGAAAACAGAAACTCACCCACTCTTCCCAGAAGCTCAACTTTTGCGGCTGTCGGAGGAGCTCCTGTGCATGTTTGCTGGAAAGAGCTCAGAGATATGAGAGTTCAGTTTGTGGAGCACAGCCAGGGTCTAAGGCTCCTTCCCACAAATACATACACTGTAATGGTGGAAAGGCCAAGGATTGTGGAGAGGTCTTGAGCCAAGCATAGAGTCACTGCTCCACTCCTTGGATCTGTGCCAGTCTCTCCACTCCCAAGTAAATGTGGGATAATGTATTGTGCTCTTCCAAGGCAAAGCAGATCAGGGAAATTATTTTATGAAAAGTACCTGGGAGTTTTGCCAAGCTCATTTTTGGTTCATTATACCATCTATTATTAATACATTATCACATAATGATCACTTGGCCTGATGTTTTTTTTACCCCATGAACACAGTGGTGGTTTTTCCCCTTTCTGTGTTTGCAGACAATGTAACTGAGTCATCGTCAATGTTGAATTTTAAAATTTGATCATCTGAATATTGGAAGAAAGAATCATTCTAATGATTGCAGTTCTTCTGAGCAGTTCTTAACGTATTTTGTCACAAGGCTCACATTTCAGAAGATAGAGAAAAGAAAAATGAAATTACCATTATGGACTGAAGTCTGAGAAGCTGGTAAAAAAATGTGAGGTGAAGTGAAGTCATAAAGAATGTTGGGAGAAAGTAACTATATCACCATAGTTTTCATCATAAACTTGGAGGACATACAGAGAAAATACACAGGTTTTTAAGTGATCAGAGAAAAAAAATAGGAACACTTCCATGACTGGAAGTTTTAAATAGTAAAGAAAACTCAAAAGGAATGAGATTTCCAAAATATTGTAGTGATACAATCTTGGAAGATCTTGATAATAAGGCAGTTAAGGAACTAGCACAGTAGGAAAGGCTCGCTGTTTACTTTTAGAAGGTATTTAGGCCAGAAATGGAAGGGCCGGGGGCACCTGGGTGGCTCAGTTGGTTGAGTGTCCTACTTCTGCTCAGGTCATGACGTTGCGGTTCATGAGTTCAAGCCCCGCATGTGGTGATAGCTCAGAGCCCGGAGCCTGTTTCAGATTCTGGGTCTCCTTCTCTCTCTGGCCCTCCCCCGTTCATGCTCTGTGTCTCTCTGTCTCAAAAATAAATAAACCTTTAAATTTTTTGTTTTTAAGACGCGCCTGGTTGGCTTAGTCGCTTGAGCATCTGACTTCGGCTCAGGTCATGATCTCACAGTTCGTGGGTTTGAGCCCCGCGTCGGGGTCTGTGCTGACAGCTCAGAGCCTGGAGCCTGCTTCGGATTCTTTCTCTGCCCCTCCCCCACTTGTACTCTGTCTCTCTCTGTCAAAAATAAATAAATATAAAAAAAAATTTTTTTAATGTTTTTGTTTAAAAATTTTTTTGATGTTTTATTTATTTTTGAGGGAGAGAGAGAGACAGAGTGTGAGTGGGGGAAGGGCAGAGAGAGACACACACACACACAGAATCCGAAGCAGGCTCCAGGCTCCGAGCTAACACAAAGCCCGACACGGGGCTTGAACTCACGAATGGACAGATCATGACCTGAGCCGAAGTCGATGCTTAACCGACTGAGCCACCCAGGTGCTCCAAATTTTTTTTTTTTTTTTTTTTAAAAAGGAAAGGTCAGTGCATAAAGAAGAATCTATTTTTATTTTCAAAATTTTTTGTTTGTTTCTTTATTTACTTATTTATTGAGAGAGAGAGAACAGAAGAAAGGGAGAAGCAGAGACAGAGAGAGAGAGAATCTGAAGCAGGTTCCAGGCTCTGAGCTGTCAGCACAGATCCCAAAGCAGGGCTCGAACCCATAAACCATGAGATCATGATCTGAGCTGAAGTTGGACGCTCAGCCAACTGAGCCACCCAGGTGTCCTAAGAAGAATCCATTTGTAGAGACCCACACGGGATCTGTTTACAAAAAGGACTAATGCGTGGTCCTATTTTATTCATCTTTATAACTCCAGCATCTACTGTAATGTGACAGTCACCATGGTTTCCTTCTTGATTCCAGGGTTTGGAGAAACTTTAACACAAGTTCTTATACTAAGTCGCTGAGGAGATCCCGGCGTCATTGTTGACAACATGTGATGACACGTGGAGAATGAGGGAGGCATCAAAAGATGCAAAAATACCGTGGCAGAGACATCTAGTTGCTCACCCCAAGAGTCAGTCTCTTTTTCTTCTTTCCCAACAGGACTAAAGTGAACTAAACAGAAGTAACGGAACTGATTTCATTTGGGGCAATGTTTTCAATGGCTGGTGACAATATTCTGGCCAAGGAAATCCAAGAGCAGATGTTGATGCGAGTTCTGGGTTGACCAAGATCACTGAGCCAGGAAGAGTGGCTCTTTTTCCTCTCTGCTGTTCTGGCAACTGTCATCCTGTAATGAAGCCATCTTGGGTCATGGCAGAGTCCGAAAGAGGGAGGTTATGAGCTGAGAACAGTGAAAGGGACAATGGAGACACGGATCCTGCATGGCTCCACGGACTGTCTGCCACTGCCCTGTCTATCGCTGGATTCTCTTATTTCAGAAAAAAAGAAAACACATCTATTGGAATGAGATTATGTTATTGATGGTGAATGTGTTATGCAACTGAACCTAATCCTAACTGATAAAATATCCAGAGTCTATAGACGGGCTTCAAGGACTAGACACAAGTGCGTGTAAATCCCAGGAAAAACCCTTGAAGAGAATTCTAAGTCACTTTGAAAGCACTTGGGGAAAGAAATTGTGATTTATAGGGGATAAGACACATTCAAAAAAAGAATAATTATTGCCAAATTACCTTCATTTATTTGGACCTCGTTATCAGATTAGTAGCTTTCATTTAACAGCAAACACTTGGGGAAGATTGACTACTTGCCAGGTGCTGTTTGAAGTACTTTACATGTTGTATTTTTTTGTAATCATCGCACAGGTACTGTGAAAATCCTCACCCTGCAAACAGTGAAACCAAGGCACTAAGGTTTATATAACTGATCCAATGAGACACGGTTATGAAGGGATGGAGACAAGACATAGCCCGAATAGCCTGAGTTCAGAGGTCGCTCTAACTCGTACTCTACATTGTCCTTTAGAGGAAAGCCGTTGACAACCAGTGGATTACAATTTTGCCACTAGACACAATCTCATAATAGTGGCATGGAGACATGGGAGATGAGCACTTGGATAAATTCATGATGCTCAAGCACTGTCAGCCTTCTGGAAGTCTCCTGACATATGTCAAGGTTCTTAATCCATTCATGTTTACAATTTTATTAATGGCTGCAGACACAGAAGATATCTTTTATCAAGTGTGTGAGGACCAAAATAAGTTTAGCCTGCAAAAAAGAACACCTGTGGAAATATGGGAGGTCTCATTAAAATAATTATTCCATAATTTTAGAGCCTTAGCAGTCTCCAACATCATCAGTTTAGTGGCCCTTCCCGGAGGCAAGAAGGCAAAGTGATACAAAACCTATGGGGACAATATTTTGCAATACTGTAAGAATTGACAATATATTGAAAAAACATATACATTTACCCTTTAATCCAGAAATTCCATTTCTAGGGCATTATTGCAAAGATACACTAGTGAAAATGAAAAAAAAAAAAGCAGCAAAGCAGCACAAATTCATAAAGCTCTCCCTTGCATACTAATTACCTATAACTTAGTTTCCTTAACAAATAAATTGTAAGAAAAAAATAAAAATGAAATGGACAGAGGGCACCTATAGAGTCAAAGAGACTTAACTAATTGTAGTGACAGGTCCTTATTTGCATCCTGATCCAAGCAGAGAGAGACGGGCAGGGAGAGTACATGTTGGAGAAAGATGAACCCTGCCCTTAGAGTTAAGATACTTAGGAATTGTTTTTAATTTGGGAGAGAATAATAATGGCATTGGGGTCGTTACAAAGTCAGAGCCCTTATGTCTCAGAGAAGCTTTAAATCATTATGGATGACTTGATATGGTATCAGGGATTCGCTTCAACACAAACCCAGGGAGGAGGGAACGAGGGTGAAGGTAAAGGTGAAATCAGATGAATCTCAAGCTGATATCTTTACAGCTGGATGTCGACTAAAAGGAGCACTCATTATCCCATTATACTGATTTTTGTACGTTTGAAATTTTGCATTGTAAAAAGCCATACTTAAACCGTATCTCTGTTGAAACTAAAATATTCAATTTGCCAAAAAAAAAAAAAAAAAAAAAAAGTTTTCCCACTTGAAACGTACGGATGCAGATCTTTAAAAAAAGAAACTCACCAAGAAGGAAACACAATGAAATCCTTAAGGAAAAACTCGCTGAATGTAAGCACAGGTCATTCATTCGATCTTTCGCAGAGCTAAGGAGCCAATTTGGGACTCCAGAAACTTACTCCAGTGGTCTATTTTGTGGTTGGCTTGCAGTCAAAGGGCACTGATGTCAAAAGCAGTGCACTGTTTTCTGGGTTGCTGGAGGGGAACCAATCAACCAAAGTTCTACAGAGACATATTTTGACTCAAAATAACAAAAAGTCTTTCCTACAATTGGAGCTACTGGGCAGCACAATGGGATTTTTCTCTAGGTTCTGCACAGCCCCAGGCGGGGTGAATGCCTGGATAGAGGCTTGAGGGCCCCTGGTATTGTAAAGGATGTGACAAAGAGAATTCCTGTATCAGCTTCAAGGCTGCGCGAGGTGACCTTGAACCTCCGTTCCTAGTTGATGATGCCATAATTCTATAATGAGAGGATCCTTCTTGTTTCGACACATAACCCATAACTCTTGCTGGAGGGCCGGCATGCACCAAGGGCAGCATTATTACCTGACTTGAGAGAAAAACACTTGATTGTAAGAAACAAACTGATACAGTCCTTCAACAAACTAAAAGCTTGAAGACTCAAAGTATTAATGCTAAATATTTACAGTTGTAGTAGTTTGGCTTTTAATACATATGTTGAATTCTTAGAAAGTGCAATGGGCTAGAAAATAGACCATAGAGAATAAAGGAGACCAGGCCCTGGTCCCAGTTCTGAGTGCCCAGATGGGTCTGGGACCCCCTGCCTCTGCTCCCCCTCTGCTGGGAGCTGCCCATGGCCCACCATTCCTGACCAGCTATTTCCTGCATGGAAACTTGCTCCTAGACAAAGTTCTGATACCTACCTTGTAGAGCCAAGTGTGAGCTAAAAGCAACATGTCGCCATTCTCAACCATGTTTCTTAAAGCTTTATTTCTAACCAGAGTGAAAAGACTTATTTTTCTTAAAAAAAAAAAAAAAGAATTCCTAGTGTCAACAAATAAATGGGGTGATAATTGAGGTTGGAGTTCTGGAATGGTACAGTATAACTGGCCCAGCTATTCTGATGATTACAGAGAGAAGTTAACTCCATGGTCTACATCACAGTGGGTCAGGGCCCTGCTGCCTCAGGCCAAAGGTGAATGCCATCTAGGACCTCAGAGTTAGCCTTGCAAGGACAGATCAGGAAGGATATAGTGCCAGCCTTCCAGAGAGATCCATAAGGGAGTCCATTCTGCCCCTGTGATACTATTAGCTTCTCCTCCCTGCCACTTTTTCCTCTGATTGTCAGTGACATGGATCTCGGCTCCATTTTATATGGGATATTTATGATATAATTCTAATAGCCCCTGCTTTTCAAGAGATGGTTATAAACACCAGATGGATATTACAAGAAAATTGGATTGCTCTGTGGTGAGTGAGATATGGAAAGGCCTTTTCTGAACCAAGCAATAGACAAAATTGTAGCATTAAGTTGTGTTTGAAATAAAATGGTTCCTAGATCAGAGGTGACACTGCCTTTTGTAAAGTGTGAAGCTGTTCCTTCTTCTGGGTAGAATGAGGATTTTTAAAAAAGAATAACACGGATATGTTATGATCGGCCTTAATTCACAAAATATCTACCTATATCTATGAATACAACAATAAGAGTCTTTAAAAGGCTACATATTTAATGTTTCCATGCTTGATGGAGAGCAAATCTGATTTGTCCCTGCAGATAAATTATCTTGAGCTCTAGAGTTCTAAAGGGTGGACTTCCAACAGTCACCTGCTAGATTTCCAACACATCCATTACTCAATTATATCTCCTCTTTCACATTTCAGGCCCTACGTCAACGTGCCCTTGACATTGCCTTTCAGTTCACTCTCCCATCTTCCTTAATCATTTCAGCACCTAACTCACAATTTTGCTTCTTTGTGTGACCTCTGCCAGCATCCTTGGTGTCCTATCAAGTTTATGACCATTCTGGAACCTTACCATAGCGCGTAACAGCTTGTATCGTAAGTTTTATAAGCACATTTTTATCCACCTGTAGACTCGAACTATAACAAAAGTTGCATTTCCCATTCAGAAAATGCTCTGCTGCAAATGTGAGCTTACCCGACGTCTGCTATGACCCTGTGTGTGGTGCGACAGCTTTTATCTCGGGCTCACCCTATCCACCATCCCCATCACCTAAAAATCCTGCATAGAGGCTGGCATCTACCAAGGTTACAATCACAGAAGAGGGCTTTGAAAAATGTAATCAGGCTGAGAAGGAGATGTACTTTTAGGCACATTTGTAAGAAAAGTGGCAGGAAGTTAACCTCAGTGCAAAATGTTTGCTTCCCCCTCTCTTTCCACAGGCCAGATCACCATGAGGGACCCGCACTCCTTGCCAGTCTCCAAGCTTTCAGCGGCCTCTGTTCAGACGTGGGTCAAACACCGAGTACCTCACCCCAGGGGCAGAGGCAAGTGGCAGCAACAGGGATTGTTACTTCGTTTTAGTTTTTGTTCACTGGGCAGCGATCGGACGATAAAGAGGCTGCAGGAAAGGGCACGCATCGGGCGGAACAGGGGCCTCTCTTGTCCAACAGTGGGGCTCTCGAAGGCCCCGTGACCACAGATGAAGCTGGAGGGCAGACTGGAGTAGGTCACAGAAGTTATTTTCAAGTCATCACCATCTCATGGGTTTTGAATGTATTATTTGACATTATTAAAGGTCCTCTAAGGTTCCACAAAAGCCCTTTAGCCAGCTAACAGTTAAAGTTTTATGTCCCAAAGTAAGTAATGAGTGTTGGGGTTATAACTGAATTGCTCCATCTCAAGGTCTAGGTGAAAGTACAGCTTTGGATGAGGAAGGACTGAAAAGGGGGTATTTCTAGAAGAAGGTGCCAAAACAGGGCTCTGGGCCAATTTGTTGAAAGCTAATTTACTAAAATTAACTTCACGAATGACCAATATCCCGACTCACTGAGAGCTTTGTTTGTAAATTTTCGTTTAGTTCCTTCCCCTACCTCTGCCTCTCCTAGACCGTGGCTCCGAGCTTGACCCTGCCTCTCTAAGAAAACCTGAGAAAGCCTCTGAGAGGGGACAAGAGAAAGCACAGGTTAAGATAAAACAAACTTAAGGGTCCTCAAAGTTTTGCAAATTGAGCATTTGGCAAGTTGTTTTTCAGTAAATTGATGGCTGGGTACACTGACTTGCCTTCCCCAGAGCAAAGCTATCTCTCACTTGTCTCTCTCTTTCCTAGCACAGGCTCCTGTCTCTTTTACACTCAGTTAAAATAAGAAGGGATGATATCTGCAAAGACATGAATTCCCAACTATGCACACTTGCGCCCTGAAAGATGACAGATGTGCACACCTGTGTGTACAAACCAGTATGGAGTTTGAGTCCCTGGTTGAAGAAAGACTTCCGAAAGGTCCTCTCTTTCCCCTATGCAAACAATCTCACCTTGTTAGGCCACCTTGGGGGGAAAAATCACCAGAATTCTTGTGTGAGTCTTTCTGGCCATGGTGGGTCTTTTAGTTACTAAAACCGAGTACCGGGGGGGCACCTGGGTGGCTCAGTCTGTTCAGCATCTGACTCTTGATTTTGGCTTAGGTCATGATCTCACAGTTGTGAGTTCGAGCCCTCCTGTATTGGGCTCTGCGCTGACAGTGTGGAGCCTGCTTGGGACTCTCTCTCTCTCTCCCTCTGCCCCTCTCCCGCTCTTTCTCTATCTCAAAAATAAATAAACATTAAAAAAAAAAAAAACCCTGAGTAACCAAATTAAGCATTGTTCCAACCTGGATCCCCATGCCCAGTCCCTCTCTGATTTTCTTGGCTGTGAATATTTCCCAGTAAAGATCCCGAGTCTCTATAAAAGCAGCAGTCTATGCAAGAGGCATTGTTTCATCGTCTCAGATGTCTTAAATGCCAGAGCCTCCCACCGCATGGCCCTGTTTCTTCCGCTGCTACACATTCTTATCTTTTATTGCTTACATCAGAATCTTTGCCCATTAGAAAGGTCCTTACAGAAAATGTCAGAAATTCAAAAGAAAACGACAGAGGAATACAAATTGGAACAACAACAAAATACCACTTTTAACTTACAAAGTTGGCAGAGCATACAAAAAGGAACTGTATCAGTGTTTGCTTAGAACTGGTGAAAAGACAAATTGGCATCATGTGTCTGGAAGGACCTTTGCAAACACACACTGAGTATCTTAAAATGTCTGTTGATCTTTAATTTCTCTGCTAGGAATTTTCCTAAGGAAATACATACGTATACAAAGACTATTACCCTAATGATGTTTACCATTGTAAAAAAAAATGGAATTATCTTTAATGTCCAATCTTATGGTACCAGCG